GCGAGGCAAGAAGTAGCATGAGACTGACGTGATGGCGAGGCTTTCAATCTCGGTCAAAGTCAGCCAACTGTGGACAGATCCGTAAATACGACAACCAGACCATCCAACACTGATTTAGTTTCATTTGGGTTTACTCTTTTTCTTTTAAATACTAACAGGTTATTTATCTAAAGCCTCTAGGACCACTGTCTCCAAGACCACTGCCTCTAAGACCACTGCCTCCAAGACCACTACCTCTAAGACCACTTCCTCCAAAACCACTGCTTCTAAAGGACCCAGACAGTTAGATCCAGGAAACATCCGAAATTAAACTGGGTCTAAACTCACTGGTGAAAACCTTGAGATACTTCACTAGGCTCCTGGAACACACCCTTCCCTCCCTCCCTCTATTACCCGAGTCAGTGATCTATCCTTCGTGTGGAACCTGGAACTCTGGAAAACCTGGAAATTGGAACTCTTGAAGGCCTGGGCGCTGAATACGGACTGGATGAAGTGAATACGAATCCTGTAGACTCAATATGGACCCCTAGGGACTGAATACGGATAAGATGGACTAATTACGAACCACATGGACTCGAATTCCAGATCCATTTCGCTGGATTTATGTCCCCGTTTTGGTAAGTTACAATGATCTGACTTTCCACCTCAAGATATAAACTTTCTCCAAAAATAAAAAGTACAAGGACACGTTTCAGGTATCAAGGACTAGTACAGTAATTCTCAGGTGTTCAAGTAAAGGTACAGTAATTCTCAGGTGTTCACAGTATCATTAAGGTACAGAATTTAAACCAATACCTATCACTACAGGTACAGAGTCCAGTACCAATTACAGACAGACACGGGAGAGTGGGGTGAATGGGGTGGGGGAGAGGGTGAGTGGGATGGAGAGAGGGAATATGAGTGATACGGGGAACAATGAACAGTGTAATATACAAAGAGAAGTGTGGCCCAGTTTGTTACCACCACACTGGCAGGTACACCCCACTCTCCCTCCCTTCAACACCCCACTCTCCCTCCCTCCCGCAATACCCCTCTCCCTTTCCCTCCCGCAACACCCTTTCTGCCTCCCCTCCCTAACACCCCTCTTCCTTTCCCTCCCCAACACCTCTCTCTCTCTCTCCCCAACACCCCCACCCTAACACACCCTCTCTGCCTCCCCCACCCCCAAGTGATGTGAAAATACGTTTAAGTGTACTATATTAATATGTACTAACGTATCTTACAAATTTCTATGTTTTATCTCTATCTCTTCTTTTCTCTTCTTTATTCTCTCGTTCCAGGTTATTATTGTTATTATTTTAGTTGTTTCGTGTAAAACTCTTCCATGTGACTCGGATATAAGCAGTGAATGTCGCAGTTCGAGTAGAAATCTCTCTCTGTTTTGTTCTCCTAGGATGTTATTTTCATTGTTCTCTTCTCCTTTAACCCAACCTAACCCAACCCAACCTAACCTAACGTGCACTTGTTGTCAATGAGGTGAAGGGAGTTTGTACTGTATGATGGTGGTGCTTCTGTCAACACTAAATGGACTCTTGTATTTTTTCTCGTGTCGACCCATAAATGAAGCGGAAATGTGGAAAGTGTGGACTAGTACAACAGAGAGATGGGTGGGTGGGTGGATGTGGGTGGGAGTGGGTGGGGTAGGTAGGATAATATTAGTTAGGGAAGAGAGAGGGATGGAGGGTGGGTGGGTGGGTAGGTAAGGGTGAGAGGGAGAGGGGGTGTGAGAGTGTAAATAAGTGGAGATAGAGAGGTGAGAGTGTGTGGGTGTGAGGGTGGGAGGTGAGCGAAAGTGATTGAAGGAGTGTAATGAGAGAGAGAGAGAATGTGAAGACAGAGTTATATCCGAAAAAATAACACCACTGCTACCATTACCACCCCTACAACCACCCCTACCACCACTACCACCACCACTACCACCACCACTACTACCACCACTACCACCACCACTACCACCACCATCCCTAACAGCCAACCATAACTGTAACAAACAACAATAAAATACACTAACTATCAAACTCGACCCAAATATTCATGTTATTAATCCATACACGAAGTCTCACCGTAATCCACTCAAGCTTTCTCCTGTTATTGTACGGACACGACAATTTTATGGACGTACGGACGGACGGGCATGGGTAAGATTATACGACCCGTAACTTTATAGAGAAGAGGAATAAAGAGAGAAAGCTGTTTATTTTCTCTGACTTTCTCTCTAGTGTGGAGGAGTGAGGTGGAGTAGCGAGGTGAAGGAGAGAGGTAGAGGAATGAGGTGGAGTAGTGAGGTGGAGTAGTGAGGTGGAGGAGTGAGGGAGAGAGGAGGAGTTGACGACCTAACGGGCCAAAATCTGATCAGCATCAAAACAATGGCCCCGTGAATGAGCGTAAACACACCATGACTAACACAGACAAAGTCCCGGATTTTCAAAGGGTTCGTGCGCCGCTAAATCTCTCCTCCGTCTTATCTCATGACCCAACCCCCCTCCTCCCTCCCCCTTACCTGGAGATACAAGACAACACATTGTTAGTTCACTTTATCTACTACACACAGAGATGAAGGACAATGACGTCAATACTACACAGAGACTATACCTGGCCTTACCTTAACACCTATTCCTGCTCCTAGTTAAGACAAAACATAAGTAAATTAACGTAAGTATCTTTAAGAATCTGTTCCATATCTAGAACTACGAGAGTTTTAGAGAGAGAGAGAGAGAGAGAGAGAGAGAGAGAGAGAGAGAGAGAGAGAGAGAGAGAGAGAGAGAGAGAGAGAGAGAGAGAAAATCATCTTAGAGTCGCAGCTCAAGTGAATCAGGTATAGGCAGAACACACACACACAGTACCATGAGCTGCACTAAACCACTCTTTGTCACGAGCCAGAGGTAATCATTTGTACTCTAAGAACACATGGTCGAGATATGAGTGAATGTATGTGTATCAGTGTTATGGCATCTCTATCTATCCAACCATCTATCCATCCACTCGACCATCTATCCATCCATCTATCCATCCATCCATCCACCTATCTATCTATCTCACAAATCCCCCACCGCACCACAACAAACTCCAACAGGCCATAACTCTGTACAACAACAACACAAAACACTCATTATCAAACTGAACCGAGATTTTGTCATGACACACCCATACATCCAAGTTACATTAAAATACACTAATATTTGTTCAAGTTATCGCGCGGACAGACTACCTGACGCACGACAAGCAAGAGAAAAAGACGATGGCGGTTGTTGACTTTTTACGGCAACTATTTCTAAACAATAACACGAGCTACAGGCCATGCTGAACCTCCTGGGAAAAAATGACCATGACAGAGAGAGAGAGAGAGAGAGTAGGTGATTCATGTTTTTTGTTGAGTTATAACTATGAGTAATTAATATTATTTGACCAGCCAACCATAATAATTTATCTGTTTGTCTGTTTGTCAATGTCAATCTCTCTTTCTTTCCCTCCTGACTTCTCATTCTCTCTCCCTACTATATTTTTTTTCGCATAGTCCTCTTCTCTGTCTTTCTCTCTTCCTCCGCTCCTCTCACTCCACCACCACTCCCACAATCCAGTTCCCCCACCACCCCTCCCTCGCTCAACCACCTCTCACTCCACTACCTCTCCCCCTCCCTCCATTTCCCCCACTGCCCCCTCTCCTTTCCCCACCTCTCCACTGCAGTGACTGCACTTTCTTCCCCACCCCTCCCTTCCTCCCTCCCTCCCTCTTTCCACCACCTTTTCGCTATCCTCCCCTCCACTACCCTTCCCTCCCTCCACCTCTCCACCGATCGCTACATAGACCAGGGTTGAGGTCACTGAATCATAACCAAACATTTTTCACCACATTTCAAACTCCTTCGTAATTATCGAGTCATGGTTCTTAGTCTATGTAATACAATGGCAGGAAAGTGAATCCATTGTGTTATATTACGTGTTTTAGGAGTATCTATTGAGTCTATTAAGTTCTATTCGTGTTTAAAGTGATAAGCAGAATATGCAGACAGACCCTTTGAGAATCGGTCTTTGTGGCGTAACTTAAGTGAGTCAGTTAGACACGTTCTCACGTCCCCAGATAAGAGAACAAATATTATTCCACTTACGATTATTTGAGAATTTGGACATTAGCCGCAGGAAATATAAGTCGCAATGAATGTTTACATAAATTGTGGGTATCTGTCTGTAATTATCGTATTATACAGCTACCAGACACACACACACACACACACGCACACACACACAAATAAAGACAGGCAGATCTTGTTTTGTTTACTTGCCTTGTTTATCTGCCTCATTTTATCTACCTTGTTTTGTCTACCTTGTTTACCTATATCTACTTTGTTTTATCTCCGTTGTTTTGTCGGCACAGGAAGACATAAAGACAACTAAAGGCTTTTGTAAACGGGACCACCGGAAAGGGATATTCATTGTACTGTGTGTGTGTGTGTGTGTATGTATGTGTGTGGGGGGGGGGAGGCAGTGACCGCATAAACGAGTCGTTTCTAATATAATAAACATAACATTAAGGGTAACTAAACTGTCTTGAACACAGAAGGTAAAGACACGATAATTCTCATCTATTTATTTACGCCAACTAAATGTCGGTGAACTCTTTTTACGCTTGGTTAGATTTGCGTGTAAAATTCGCCTCCAATTTTTGAAGAATGCAACGAGAGAGAGAGAGAGAGAGAGAGAGAGAGAGAAGGCGAGAGATATCAACACACACATGTCATAACTCCTGTACACAACACAAACACGCACAGAAGGTGAAGGCCATGATCAGCTGATTCCCGTCAACAAACATCAGCTGGGATGTTCATAAGTGTTCTGAATACAAGCAGTAGCGGGATACTAAATAAAAAAATACTGACTCAAAGCTCTAGTTCATATCCCTTAATAACCTCTAATTAACCTGTGTCTATTTACATCTTTAATGAGTTAGATAATGTCAATAATCACGTATATGGAGGAAAGTTTCAAAAGCAGCCATGACTTACCCTTGAATGATTACAAATTAAGTCAATGTAATTTTAAACCTCAAAATGTCAACAAAGGTGGAGTAGGCACAGGAGGGGGTCGTTGGTAGTGGCGTCCTACAAGGTGAGTGTGTGTGTGACTCGTGGCTTCTGCTGTAGTGGTACACCCTCCCTCACTCACCATTCAGCCCACACTGACTGTCTGACTCCGCCACCAGGACCACCAAAACAGTAACACCCTCATTATACACACTACGTTACCCTCCACCCACCCCCAACCCACCATCCCACTCCCTACCCCCCACCTTTGCTCCCTAACCCAATGAATGACACAGCAATGTTATTTTTACCTATTTTTTTTCTGATGGGATCTGACGTTCATTCCTCTCCTAGGCGGTACTTAAAACTTTCTCGTGGTTGATAAAAAGCTTGAAGGTGATTTGAAACTCTTTTATGGGTCTGTGTTGTGACGAAATCCAGGACTTGGTAAAAACTGGCAGGTAACTAATTTTGGACACGCTGACGCAAATGAGTTATATATGAAAGGAAAGTTTTATAGGATACAACAACTGTCATACACCCGAAAACTGAGAGAGAGAGAGTCGTCGACAGCCAAATCAACACATAAATCAACATTCCACTCAAACATAATTGCCATTGACCTGATTAGAGCTACTTGGTGTTGAACGAATCTTTAGGGAAATCCGACGTAGAGGCGAGACGGGGCTCTAAAACGAGTGTTTGACGGGGCACTGAAAGGCTGTGGTAAATGTCCAACGGGGCTGTAGTGATACGGGGCGGGGCGGGGCTGGGAAAGTGCCTAGTAAGTAGTACGGATCGCCCCGCTTGGCCAACTACGAGGGACACACACACACATTCTCTCTCTCTCGTTTCATCTTTCCTATCTGTTATTTTTCATTCTTCAATTTTTTCTACCACCTTCCTTCGGTTCCACTCTATTCTTTCTAGTTTTCCCCCTTTCTCTCTCCCTCTCATGCTTCATTGTTTTTCTCCTCCCTTCCTGTCCTCATCCCTCTGGTCCCTTCCTCATTCCACCTACATTACGGGAACTGCCAGCCTCCACCCTTAATTATATACTAAAATAATTTGTATGGAAGGGAAGAGATGAGGAAGTGTGTGTGTGTGTGTGTGTGTGTGAGGGGGTGGGGGGGGCATAAAATTGGTACGAAATTTAAAGAAGTGTCCGCTAAAATAATCTTTCCATCGGCACACTTTCCTTCAAAGAGAACTTATGATGGGATACTTCGCTAAATATGTAATATTAAAAATTTCATTATAATGAATGATATAAATGCTCTAAAAATACAACTTCGCCTAAATAAAATTACTCTGAGGTCATTAGGTTAAGGTTCATGACGTCTGATTTCTATAGTAATAAAATTTAAAATAATAATTAACGCAGTGATTTATTAATAATTTCTTTGCAGGCCTCTCTTTATATATGTTGCATATATATAACAATGAATATTTAAGATAGGTAATAATAACCTTTGCACGTGGCAAGGATTAAACGACAACCTGAGGTCCGTATCTACTGTAAGGCAACATTAACGGGCGGGTCTTTTGCTACTGTCTGATGCTCTTCACCGTTTTCCTCGACGAATCACGACGCGAGTGGCAGCTCATCCTCTCTTCTCATTGGCTGACATTTACGCCCATTGCTGACATTACTTTCGATCGTGACATGACAGCTGTTGATAGCCACAAAAACTACCGTTAAGTGTAATTACTACAATGATATAATTTGTAAGGTGAGTGTAGAGTTGTTGACACACACAACACACTTAAAGGCCCTACTACAGCGTGCGATCTACACATATTTAGATTAAGTTGGGTTAGAGTAAAGATATCTTTGTAGACCATACGCTACAGGGTCTTTGTGTTGGCGTGGAGAGAGACCCGGGTGTCGGTGATCACGTGGTCCACACCCCGCGTGGTCACCAACTCCGCCTTAACACGCCCTCTTGTGATCCTTGTCCTCTCCCACTCATGAATATTTCACTACTCACCCCTACTGGACACAATACCATCATTAATGTAATACAATAACAACAAAACAGCAACATAAAATACCCTTTCAAATTTGAGTGCTTGAGTTTGTGTTCACTCAAGTGGGGTTTTTATAATCCGACAATCGCCTTCCCCCCGAACCTTCGGTCTACACCCCCGTCTCTAATATCCATAATTTTGATAAAATCTCATATATTTTCCCCACTGGATATAAACCCATCAACGTTATCATACAGTCTACAATAAAACCCTAATCTCGTGTTTGTTTTGACGTTATAATACCAGGTGCGGTTTGGGTTCGTGTAAATGGGAATTTTCTCCTAGTCACCCCTGTCCTCCCTCCCCCAGGATAACTTACCTGTGTAAACCCCGCTTTCCCTCTCCATCTCTCTCGCACCTCCCCACCACTCTTCCTCTATTGACTAGACCCCAACATTGCCTAAATAAAATGGGCCCCAAACCAAAATTGCCTGGGTTATACTGGGGCCCATCTGGCCCAGCAGCCAATTTTCTCACAAATGACTACCAGACTATCAAAGGTTCTTACACAATTAGATGAAAGCAGTCTATTCATTTCCTCTTATGTTTACCAAGCACTCGCATTTCCAAGAACCAATTAGTGCATACCGACCCGAGTCTTCCCGCCACACTACCTTACACAGTACAGTACGTTAAAAACTTTATACAGTACAGTATACTACGTCAGTTATATCTTTAAAAAAATTCATATCCGTCCCAATTCTCGTACAGTAGTTCTAGTTAAATTTCCCGCATAACTTAGCTCAACATTGCTGTTATCTTTAAACACATTACAGAGAATGTTTTAGTTCATTAGTCAGGGAATGCTATTTGAATGCCATGTTCTACTCCTGATATACTGTACAGTAATATATTAGCAGTACGTGGACTAGAAAAGCTTTTAATAAAAAAATTTTATTTTAGCTAATATTGAAGAAAGCAATACTGTAAACTACAAAGCTTATAAAATACACAGCCCACAAGTACATTTTCTAGTACCTTTCAACACAAAAACTTAGATAGGAATTAAATGTTTTAAGCAAACAATTACAATTCGTAGAAAAATTCTTCCTGCTTGGTAGCTCATAATTAGGCTTCAAATGAATACAGCCGTGAGTCAATGCTATCATTTCACCAATAACTTGCAACAAGACTAGTGGTCACTGGTGTAATATATTTTAGAAATTCAGAGACTTGGTATTTACAAGTGACATTTGTTTATGTGAAATATTGTTCATTGAAAAAAAAATTGAACGTGTTTATTGTCCCAAAATATTTAATATATTTTAGAGATAATACGACTGCTACTTGCATTCCAGAGCAGTTCACTCACGGTAAGATCTGCCAAATGTGTAATAATGTAAATGGATATTTTGGCTGCCAGAGACGAAAACTAAAGAAACAAAATTATGATAGAACTGGCACTATTCCCCGAAACTTGACCGATACCAATATACCCCACAAATAGGCCGATACCACAAGATACTTCCCTAGTTCTTAGTACTGTACGCCTACCGAGAGGTCATAAATGGTGATATCCAGGCAAACAGTTAATCATGTTAAGTGGAACAAATAATACATAGTTAAAAGTACTGAAATTATCTGAAGGTTAGACACTAAAAATAATTAGATCACCAGCTGATTAAACACCCTAACCCTCCCCCCCCCCCTTTGATAGCATTTGAGTGTTCAATGATCAGGTGAAATAGCTGAAGTGCCTAATCATCAGGTGATATAAGCTAGGGTACCTATCAGTTGAAATAATAAGGGGTGCCTAATCTTCAGATGATTCAGGAACTGTATGCCAATTAATATACAGTAACTTCAGTGTGTGGGGACTCAAACTTACCCTAGGAGTTGATAATTTTCCCAGAGATTTAGGTAAGTGCCTATTACAAGTCTCTTGTACATATTTGGGATCATCTGAAGATTAGGCCCCAGCTTATTATTACACCTGAAGATAAGACACCCAAGCTTATTTCACCTTAAATTAACCACCCTAAGAATACCTGGGAGTTAGGGTAGCATTAGGGTGGTTAATCTGAAGGTGACATAAGTTGGGAGATTATTCTTGGTTAGTTTCTCATCTACATTTATAATAACTACAGTGTTAACTAATCTGATTTCTACAAACTGTCTCCAACTTATACAAAAGTTCACTTCACCATGTTCAGACTACTTTTCTTTCTACACACCTACAGTACAACACAACACAAAATAATAAATCAATTCCTTGTTGTTCAATATCTTTTCTTAATACTTTAAGCTAAATTTCCTGTCCTAAACAGAGTCTCTCTCTTCACCAGTAGTTACACAATATTTCATCACCTTCCATATCACACACCATCAACAGACACTGATGTTAATCATGGTCATGTATGTGGTCACTTTAAAAGTTCTCTCATCACTTATTAAAGCTTATTGTCTTACTTTGCCACTTATATCTGTATTTAACTGTTCAGTCATGACACTGGAGCTCTATATCAAATTCAGTTTTACCGAGCATCAACTCAAATTTCCTTGTGTCTGTCGGCTGTAAATCAGTCCTGACTGTAAAGAAAGCTTCTTAAGCGGCCCTCACTGACACAGTTCATAGGTAAACCTCAAGTCACTCTTCTCAAAAACTTTAATTAAAGGGATGGATAATAAAACTGCTGGCTGCCTGATAAATCTTTAATGTTTCCACATAGTAGGAGTGGATAGTAAGCTTTATTATAATTACTGCTGCATATACAAGTACGACCTTGGAGCGGGCGGCGGTGTGGCAGCCGCTCGTCACCGAGTAGGCGTGTTGGCAAAGGGGAGGAGGGCGGGCAGCGGGGCAGGGGAGGGGGTGGAGGATGTGGGAGGGGAGGGAAGGAAGGCCAAAAGGGTCGCTCAACTCAGGACAGTAAGTTGCCTTCTAGTGACTTTGACTTGCATACAATGAAGGAAAACACAAGACTGCAAACGTGAATGTATGAAGCCCGGGTGCGGGGTGAACCAGTGACAAGCTGACTACAAGCAGTCATCGGAGGCTGCGGGCGTGGATGGGACTCAAAGGGGGCGGACAGCCCATCCACGCCAGCAGCACGTTCAGTGGGCAGGCGCAGTAGATGCCCGTGTGCACTACGTAGCGGCCTGCACACACCGCCGCCCCCGGGCAGCCTGGGGAGGGGGTGGGGCCGGCCGGTGGGGGCGGCAGGCGCAGCCACACTAGGACGACGTCCTCCTCAGTCATGGAGGCGGTGACTCGGGCCACCGCCATATTATCCTACCAAGAGTTTACGAGGCCACCGTTACGTTGCGTCATTTACGACTACCGATAATCCTTACACGGGCAAGCAACAAAATATCATAACCGTGTCAACACGAGTGACACCACAGCATTTGCATATGAGGTTGCCTTTAAACCTTTGAAAACATTAACAGTTATCATACATCACTCAATTTAAAGTGGCAAACATTTTAATGACCTAAAATATGGGTACATATAGGTACCATTCATGTAATTCTTTATATCTTGAATGAAGCAATTTTCACTGAGTTTAATGTCACCCAAACCACAAGGACTACAATTAAAAGCATTTAATTTGATAAAAATTTCTTGAGGCAAGCAGATCTGTCGAGGATGAAATAAGCGGTGCTGAGCAATATAAGAGGCAGCCCGCTACTGCTGCTGCTTCAGATACTCCCAGATACTCCTGGCCTCTGCTAGCAACTTCCTTGTTATTCATCATGCTTCTGCTGTTGCTGCTGCTGCTGCTCCTTGTTGGGCAAACCACTTCTACATCTGTTGATTCATGTCGCCCCAGTTCCACAGCTGTCATAACACATCATGCCACATTATTGTCCTCGCATTGAAAATTTACCAAAGCCTGACAAATGAAGTCTTGCTTATATTGATACAATATGAGCACTATCAGTATAATTACAGCTTAAATCAATTCAAGATTATATTCAAATTAAGTCACAATAATGCCTGACTTTTGACACAATGTATAAACATGGAGATTTAATTATGTTTCAACAATATATATTCAACACGAGCCCTCGGTACTCTAATGCTACCGAGGGTAAACACCAATAATACCAGATACACACACACACTACACCCTCACCAGTCTACCCTTGAGCTCAAAAGATTTCCAAATAATTCTAAAATGTATTTCAAGATGATGAAGACAAAGTGAACTTTTCTCAATAACATCTATTATTAAGAGCAAGTAAATGACGGTGATTAAAGAGTCTGGATTTTTCCAGTTATAATGTATAATGGGAAAGGATTTTCACGAATCAATGAAAATAAGTAAATAAATAAATATGACTTCCTTACAAACAATTGCTTATGTAGAAAACATTTGTCAGGGTGGAAATCTACAGCACCTACTGACACTATTAGGTAAATTAACTAAAAACAATACACTCCACGAAATACACGATTTGAGTGTTCTATATATAGTATATTAATTAAGCCAATACCAGGGATAGATAGTGTGTGTGTGTGTGTGTGTGTGTGTGTGTGTGTGTGTGTGTGTGTGTTTAATAGAAGCAAGTTAGACCAAGAGAGAGAGAGGTGGGAAGATGGGGTGAATTATAGGAGAAGTGTGTGTGTGTCTGGCTTGTGTGTTGCAACAGGTACAGTACAACCAGATTTATTGTGCATATTGTAGATGGGAAGAGTAAACAAAAGGTGCACATCCCTCAATGCAGATATCTAACCAACACTGGGCTCATCACCTCTCTCTCTCTCTCTCTCTCAATTTCATGTGTAGGGGTCTCGGGTACATAACTGCAGTCACTGATTTCTTATTCAAATACATAATAGAAGAGTTAAAATGAACTTAAAATATGATCAAACAAGTGCCCGAATTAAGTCTTTGTTCTACACTTAACTGATGCAGAGTGACATGAGCTTAACCACTTGTGTACAGGGTTGCCTCTGAGCTGAATAAAACTAACTGGTGTTAGGCAAATAAAATATTAAAAGTGGTGTCCCTGTAGTGATGAGCTTAAAAACAAAGTGATTGCCGCCACATTGATAAAGAGGAAGAAAAGTTTAGTTTTCTCCATGATATAATTAAAACTACCATCCGAAAATGTGACTCTTCTGTGCTTTCCTTCTACATAACTTCCAAAAATTATCTCTGGGAGTAATTGGCGACAATCAGCATGTGAAACAGCAGGAAAATGCAAAACCACCTCTTCTCCCTAATAAAATAAGTACTACTAACAATGTGTTAATAAGTACAGTACTACCTTTACTATTACCATCAATACTACAGTTACCTTTCACAAAGTTGCTCTACTACCTTTACTAAGTTCCCCCCCCCCCCTCAAAAAAAAATCTACTCACAATATGCTAACGTTTGCCTGATGGTATTAACATGATCACAACTGATGACCCCTCAGTACAGAAAATGATATAGTACAAAAAGTTGTCAAACAATTTGGAGGCCAAGGATTCACTGTGTACACTGCATGGTGTTTGTACAGTACAGGTAGAGGATATAAAGAATGTATGTGTGTGTGTGTGAAAGATTTCTAGCTGCTGTTCTTCCTTACTGGTCCTTCTAAACACTTGTCTTGCATCACACTCCCCCTATACCATACCATACCATTTCCCTATAAAAATGTGAGAGAAGATTTAAGTTGACAGATACATAAGAAGTTAATAGATCAAATAGTTACAGTTACAATTCTCACTCACCTGTCCATACTGTGTCACCTCCAAATCATTGTAATACGGATTGGCTGGTAGATTATGATCAAGAGGAGGTCCCGGCGGCAACATGTCTGACAGTGGCATGGACCACAGTATGTCGTTGCCCACCCCGCTGAGTCCTCCGCCCACTCCGCCGACTATGCCGCCACGTTCCGACCTCTTCTGTGCACGCTCGGTACCAATTGGTTGCAGTTTGGCGTGACGCTCCTCCGGTAACTGAGCCAAGCCTCCAGTATTGGCGGCTGAGGCAGTCTGAGTGGGAGAGGCTGGATTGGAGGAGTGGGGTGAGGCAAGTGGGGATGAGCTGTCCTGTGAGGCTACGTTGTTCCTGAATGCAGCATTACCTCCGACTGAGGCTGGAATAGCAGCCAAGGGTGGTGGGTTGCGTGGCACGAGTCCACTCATCACTTCATTGAATCCACCGGGCAGTTGTAAAGGGCCATCTATTCCAGTTGGGAACTGACCCATTCCACCAAATCCAGATCCGAGCGAAGGTGTAACTGTCGGAGCCCCATTTTGAAAGGCAGCTAACTGTGAGCGAGGTGGAAATGTAGGTGGCACAAATGCCCCAGATCGGCTAGTAAAATCAGGTGCATTAGGGTTGAGGGTGCTATGTATTGGCGTAGTTGCAGATATGGGTGCCAAATTATTGTGGTATACTGGAAGGGTGTTGGTTTGTGGCGTAGTAAATCTTGGGCCATTCATCATCCCTGCAAGCTGAGCCAGAGAAGATAACTGTTGCTGTTTCTGCTGATGGAAGGAACCCATTGTTATCTCAAGAGGTGGAGGAGGTTTACGATAAGGCTGACCAGGTGCTAAGTTGACTAAGTCCGAGTGGTCCGGCGGCGGGATGGGACCGCGGGGGATGGACGACACAGGACCTCCCGGTGCTAAACTTGCCATTGAAACAGAGTAAGGTTGCTGTCCCATGTTCATACCAGACTGCGACAGATGACCACGAGCTGGCAACTGGGCACCGGGTCCAATGGAGGCAGACGCTAAAGGCAATCGAACCAGTGACGACAAAACTGGAGGAGGAGTACGCGATGGACCTGGAAGTAGAGTGAATGGGCCAGCACCCATCTCCAAAGAGGATCTTGGGGGAATAGGAGGTGGTGTTGCAGTCTGACGGGTGGGTGGAGGAGCAATGGGTCTCATTGAGGGCGAAGCTACAGGTGTTCCAGGTGCACTGCGAGCCATACTTGTAGTCCCAGGCTGGTGTGGACCAGATAAAGGCACGGGCACAGGAGCATTACCTGGTGGACTCCCGGACACAACAGAAGCAATGTGGCTGCTGACCGTGACGGTGGAGGCCGTCCCTCTATAACCTGGAGCCCTGGTGACATCTGCCATGGGGGGTTGGTCAACTGGCTCCATGTAATTGTTTACTTGTCCACCAGCAAAATGTGCATGATGCTGTTGAAGCATTTGGGGAGGCATCTTATTATTACAATTTGGCACAAGCCCAGCTGCAGCCACAGATGCAAAATTCACCTGCTTCTCTTTGGCGCCCCACATGGCCTCGTGCGTCACCTGGCTCAGCCGATTGTTAAAGATGGAATACTGCTGACTGACCATACCATTGTTGTTAGTTTCTGGTATATTCTTATCTTCTCCACCCATGCTTTCTGCCGAGCCAATAACATTGTTAGCTAACCCGGGCTGAATACAGGGTTTAGGAGATGCAACCAGTGGTGGTGTAGAACTTTTGGCCGAACACTTGGAGTCGGCCAATTTAGCAGCAAAAGTCTGATGTGGTTCAGTTGACATGGGCACAGTGACTGAGTGAGTGTTGTTCATGGTTTTATTAGCAGCTGAGGTGGTAGGCACAGATTTCTTTTCTCCGGGGAACAGCTGACGAACGGCGGGACTCTTGGGGGCAGAGAAGGTGAGCGGTCCAACTGTGGACACCGGCCTGGTTTGAACTGGCGTTCGCTTTGGCGATGAGACGGCGCTCGACCATGCCGTAGTTGTGGTGGTGCTAGACTTGGCCATGGTGATGCTGATGGTGGAGGATGTTACGGTGGCCATGCTGATTCCAATGGTGCTGGCTGGTCTTAAAGATTTAATATTGGACTGCAAAATTGACATGTCTGCATTCAATTTGGAAGGTTTAGGCAGAACTTTGGCCACAGACTTGGGGAGTAATTCTGAAAGGTCCTTATCAGGATCTTTCACCAAAGCAGATATGAGATTTTGGGCCTGACGTGTGGCTTCTGTAGAGCCTTTGATGCTGATCATTCTATCCCCTTGACTTTTACCTTGCTTCTCTACCTCAATGTGGGCTCCCGAAACTTCCCGAATGGTATTGATATTGCAGCCGCCTCGACCAATTACCCTGCTTATTGCACTGTTGGGCACCGAGACTTTCTTTGCCTTTCGACTCACTTCTTTCCATCCCTCTTCTCTCCGAGTCCCTTTCTTTGGGCTCGTTCCTAGACCCGGAGTGGACTTGGCATTAGGACTAAGGGACGGTGCACTCAGGGTGGTTGACGCACTACCGACGAGGCCGGGGATGGGAGTTACGTAATGGTCGACCTCGCCAAACGTGTCCAAGGCATTTACACGTGAGGAATCGTGGGACGCCTTCTTGTTGTTTGAGGGTTTGATATTATCTAGACGGAAGATGTCGAGCTCATTCATGATCCCACTCGCTTTATTTTCCTCCTCCTTCTTCTTCTTACTCTTGGAGTTTGAGGAATTTGAGGCACTAGACTGTGGCTGGCAACTGTTGCTGTTAGACGATGACTTCTTAAGCTCATTGCCTTCACTATTAGGGATCGGGGAAGGAGTTCCATTTTGTTTCTGATTGGCGATGGTCGAGTCTTTTGTTGATGATTCCTTCCTCTTCTTCTTTGTTCTCTTTCCCTGTTTGTCTTTTTCATCCGTTACTTTGGTTTCCGACGTTGCGCTCGTTTGGCTGTTTGAATCTATGCCACTATCTCCATCCTTCTCCTCAGGGGCTATCTGCTCAACAACTCTCTGGAGAGCATTGGCTTCATTTTTCTCCCTTTTAGTTTGTTCTTCACGACGTTCTTGGTCTTCATTGCTGCCATTCTCGTCTTCATCATCTTCGTAATTATCGCTGCCATCGTCATTTCTCTTCACAACTTCTAAGCGCCGTTTCTCTTCTTTCTTCTCTTGCTTTTTGGCTTTCTTCTTGAGTCTACGCCGTGACGCCGCAGCCTTTTTTGACTCCTCCCGAGAACGTTCCTGCTCCAGTTCCTCCAGCAGAATGGACGCATTCTTGTTGGCTTCCAGAGCCTGCTTGTCCTTGGCTGCTCGAATAACTTCTAAACAGTTGGTACACTTGGTCACCAGCTCCTTGTCTCCTAGGGTGGCAATATACCTCTGCAGCTCCTGGTCAGAGGGGAACTGGGACACATTTCGTACCATGTATTTCACCACTTTATAGTGACCCCGCTTGAATGCCGCCATGAGGCAGGAAACTCTCCTGTTGTCCTCCGAGTCAATATCGGCGTTGGCACTATAGAGTAGCTGTACAACTTCCAGGTGACCACCGTTAGCAGCCAACCATAAAGGGGAGTTGCCTTTCTTGTTCTTTACTTCTACTTGAGCACCTCTGTAACAACAAACATAAAGGGTATTGTTTTATGTATGTAAAGGCTACCATTGTTGATCATCATGATGCCTGATCAACATACTAAAACATGTAATATATTAATAAAGTAAAAATGGCCTGGCTACAAATCATTAGTCTGATCAGAAATATTCACATCATGGCACCAGGTCATAAACTATCTGGCTAAGCTCCTGAAAATAATGACCCTCAGCTTTGACCAAAGGTTTTTACAGCAAGACACTTGATCATGTATAATACTATGAAATACTGTACTGTAGTCTTGAACTTTTAAACATACCGACTCATCTATACACATCACTGTGTTGACCAGAAGTGCACAATTTCACTACTCAATTACAGTAACTCCAGTGCTTACCTTTGGATTAAAAGTTCCACAAACTTATAGTGACCCTTGTCCGCTGCAATGGTTAGTGCAGTGTCTCGAGAAGATGGTACTGGAGGAGCGTTGACATCTGCCCCCTTGTCTAGTAATACTCGCCCCACTTCTACGTATCCACCACTCGCAGCTTCCATCAGAGGTGTCAATCCAGTCTAAGTACAAAAGTTGAGCATGTTGGTATACTGTATATCCTTTATACTGAATCACTTTGTTTTCTAGACCATATCATACACAATAATAATAATAATAACAGTTGACTAATAGGGTCCTGGGTCCCTCATTACCATAGACCCATGCATTCACAAAATATTAAATGAAAAACTAATTTTCACATTGATACAGATTATTTTTTTTAATTTGTGTTCAAATATTTAAAAAGCCTTCCTAAATAATGGTGCATCTGACAGCGAGGACTTGAGGATCTTCACCGATAATAAGAATCAGTAAATATCATCATTCACAGTTCAAAAGCCTTCTATATTACTTGAAGCATTAATTAGTCTCTTATCTCTTAATGATGCAAGCTTCTATGTGTCTTTACTTAGTTTAACATTATCACAGTTAGCGTATTCTACTATACCTTGGCACGGTGTTCAACATTTGCTTTGCGGTCAAGGAGAAGCGAGACAACTTCATGCCGACCCTGGAAGCAGGCTAAGGTAAGAGCAGTGTTCCTGTTGGTCTCAATTTGAGCATTGATGTCCGAGCCCATGTCAAGAAGTAACTTTACGGCTGCCACATGTCCGTTCATGGCAGCGAGCATGAGCGGTGAGATGCCGAGCTTGGATCCCGTACGCGAGTTGATCTCTGCACCATTGTCAAGGAGGAGCTTAATGATGTTGACAAAGCCCCCAGATGCGGCCAGAGAAAGAGGAGTGTAGTCCGATACATTTCTGTGTTCCTTATTGGCACCTCGCTGCAGCAGAATCTCTACCACCTGTACAGAGAGAGAGAGAGAGAGAGAGTGATGTTTTTAACTTGATCCACCAAATCCACTGAACACAATTACGTACAGCATAATATATAACAAACATTGTTAATAAGAAAACTTTGTCCTAAGCATCTTCCTCAAAAATACAATTATTCACAGTTTTTACTGATTTAGAATTACCATAAATCAATAATGTCTAGGGAATTTATTAATCAGTTTTTACAAAGTTAACAAAGTGCATTTAACAAGTGGTTACTGACCTCATATCTGCCTCCTGAGCAAGCAAGAGAGAGAGGCGTGTCCTTGGTGCGCTCGGACTGGGCCTCAATATGTGCACCTGTATTGAGCAAGGTCTCCACTACCTTGGCATGTCCCGCTGTAGCTGCTAGAATCAGTGGGGTGAATCCCTTCTTGTCTCTGTGTTCTGTAAAATCAGATGAACATCAAATTTAAGAACTGTTGGATATTACAAACTCCTATTCTTAGACCCTTTATATAATAATTTTTTTTAACCCAAATCTTATCATGGAGAATTATTGTAGAATGTTATTACCATTTTCTTTACATACACATTAAATACACTGACAACAGAGTACAGTACTATGCAGTTGAGGTCTTACCAATGTTGGCACCTCGAGTAAGTAAAAGCTGCACCAACTCCTCATGGCCACCAGCACACGCCAACGTGAGGGCTGTGTCGTGATTGGAATCTGTCTCGATGTCTACATCAACCAGATGGGAAGGTATTGCAGCTGGATAATGGCAAACTCCGGGACCAATGCCCGTTGACCCGTTGTATGGAACGCTGCCGTCGCTACTCATATATGGAACTCCCACAGATACGGGCACTCCTCCTACTCCTAGTTGACCGCCACCCACCTATAAAGTAAGCACACACAAACTCTGGATTCGGTAATAATTTAACTCTGCATTTCAACAAATCTACAAGTTGCACCACAAAAGTACTGTTACAGAGGACTTCAATTGTCCAATGATGACCAAAACCTTTTTCTTTGGTTTAAAATTATCCTTTATTAAATATTGAAACCTATATTAACACAAACAAATTCATATTAAGTTCCTACTCACCAAGACAAGAAAAAATTAGTAGGCCAACGTTACCTGAGCAGCAGGCGTGGTGATCATGTCAGGTAATTGGTCATTGAGTATCTTGGCTGGAGCTGCTGGGGTAGCAACCATTAACCCTGACTCATTAACTTGTAGACCTTGCCCAAAGGTTGTTACAGGTCCATTGGTTAGAGGAAGAGTACCAGAGGGTGCTGCCATGGTTGCAGGGAAGTGGGCCATGGTGTGGGTATTAGCATACACAACACCCTGGGCTGCTGGATCAAGAGGTAGGCCCGCAGCAACAGACTGGTGGTGCGAAGTAGCTTCCTGCACAATCGTTCCATCTGCACTGACAGGAAGGCTGTAATGACCATCTCGCTCTTGCTTGTTTACACTGGCCCGAACCTGCTTCTTACTTTTCTTGTTGGATGGTTGACTGATAGAAGCCGGGTGGGAAACCTGCTGTCCTGTGGGAAGTGTTCCGGCACTGGCATGCAGGAGTGGTCCAAGAGGCGGTCCCCGCTGCTGACCTCCATTCTCACCAGCATTTACTCCAAGCTGTGGTGAGTGTAGCAAAAATTTCTTCACTTGAGACTTGCTAGAATGAGGAACTCCTACCCCAACAGGGCCACTTGCACTTGTATTGTTAGTAATACTACTGTTGCTTGCAGAGGAACCTATTACTTGCAGCTGTTGTGCTGCTACTGCTGCTGCAGCAGCAGTTTGACTGGTGACTGGCTGGTTGGCCACTGCCGGTCCCATCCCCAAGGCAGACAAGTGACCATATTGCAGAGACCCTGTGCCAACTTGGAAGGGTGCAAATTGCAAGTGAGGGGAGGATACAAGAGTAGTGGGAACGAACTGCAGACCTGTGCCCGGGGCCGGCCCCAACCCCGTTGACAGTTGCAGTGGAGCGCCTAAAGATGTTAAAGGAACAATTTCTGCCCCGCTATCACCATCACGGCCCGCACTATCATTCTCTAATTTGGTTAAGCCAGCCCCACTACTGGCAACTTCTTCGTTAGGTAAAAGTCCTGGACAATCACATTCTGAGGGAACGCTTCGCTTCTTATCCATTTTTCCTCTTGGTACGGAGGCATCTGTCTTGTTATTCTGGCAGCTCTGCTCGTGAGTCGTTTCAACAAGAAGGGGAGGAGGAAGAGGAGGTGGAGGTGGTGGTAGGCATTGTGTTGCTCCACTAGAAGGATGCAACACACCTGGAGGTGGTGGAGGAGGTAGGGAGGTAACAGTCCCACCTGGAACAAGCAATGGTTGAGTACTTAAGCCACTAGCTGGACAACTATATGAACCGTCAACCCCGTGACTCAGCTGCACTGGTTGTAGCTGTAGTTGCTGTACAGCCTGGTTGCGCTGAACCATCATCTGCTGCTGTGTAACTGGTTGCTGCTTCTGCTGCTGCTGTTGGAGTTGAAGCTTCTTTTTGTCAGCTTTCTTAGAAGGTATCATTTTGGGTCTTTCTGAGACAGGAACATTTCCAGTCGCTGGTCCAGAAGAGGAAATATTGTGTGTTGGAAGAGAAGGTGGTGAGGCTGGAGTGTGATACACAGATGAAGCAGAATAGCCAGCCGTTTCTTGTGGGCACGTTCCCCCGGGAAACATCGACGAAGGTACTTGTGCTCCCTCAGCCGGTAGAGAAATTGGCAACTGCGCCGCAGAGGCCGCTCCACCATAAAGAGACACTACTGGGGGTAATTCTGACATGACTACACCTGGAGGTAAACTTGCCCATCCAGTGCCTGGAAGGAAGCCTGTCTGAGTTTCCACAGTATGAGTAGCAATGGGTACATGGTTATGCAGGGATGATGGGGGATAAACAAGAGGAGCTGCCAGGGAGGTGCTTCCTGCATTGATGCCACTAGTGGTGTTGTTACTGGTACTGCTGCTGGCCAGTGTTGTGATGGATGCCCCACTGTTACTACAGATCGTGCCCACGACAGAACTGTTACTGCTTGTGGTAATGCCAGTGCTGCTGCAGCTGCTGCTGCTGCTTCGAGGGGTTTCATAATTGCTACTGTAGGGGATTACTTTCCCCTGCAATTCTCTCTCCACCCTCTGCAACTCTTCTAGAATTTGCTGCTTCTGTAGGATCTGTTCTTCACGGTTTTGGTGTGGCTGCTCAGCCTTCCTAACCAGGTTGTCTACATACTGGTCAAGACGATCACAAGGTCGCAACTTTGCACTAGCCTCATCCTGGTTTGCAGGTGGTGGCGAAGTTGGAGAGGTTGGAGTCAGAAGAACATAATCACTATTGGTCACATTGTTGGCAGTAGTAGTTTTTGCCTGAAAACATTACATTAGTATAAGAAATCTACCATTTTCATCAAAAGGTTTATTGCATACGCTAATAATTAAGTACTGTATATACAAGTTAAAGATTCTTATAAACTTCACTGCCCTAATAACTCCATAACAGTTACAACACAGAGAAATCGGTTTACTCACAGTTTGAGCCTCAGTGGTGGTGCTGGTCTTCTCGCCAGTGGTAGCAGCAGTAGAGGGAGGAGTAAGGCCAGGCGTAGGTAACACAGAGGTGGTGGTGGCAGGCTTACGGTTGGTCTTGCTGCGGTTCACCTTAGTCACGTACGCTTGAGTACCAGTGACTGTGGTAGAACCTCCAGGTAGTCCTCCATCTCGAGCTGTTTTGTAATAAAGGAATGCATTAAAAGATACACACAAATATTTCCCTTCAAATCACAGCTTTTACTTTTCTTAACAATTTATTGCTTTCCATTTTATTAGTATGACTATACTTACATACTTAAAACAAAATAGACACTTGCCAATATCATCACAATAGCCACACTTACCAATATCATTAAATTGGGGTTGATTTGCATTGAGCACTAGAGGAGCCTGAGGATCTGAGCCAGGGACCACCGTGAGGCCCATGGTGAGGTGGTGGGGATCCCCTTCCAGTAATGGCCCGCTGCTCAGCTCCCCCGTTGCTCCCGTGCTGCCCCCGCCTGTCACGCTGGGATGAGGTGGGGCAACCACAGGCAGGAGATGGGAGATAGAACTGGGAAAATCTATGAGGAGCTGCACCACCTTTGTGTGGCCGCCACGGCTGGCCTCCATCAGCATGGTGGAGTTGTCCTGGGGGAGGGGGAGAAACATGTGAATATATTGGTGATGGCGTCCTTAGCCCAAACACGGTGAAACATATCCAATATAGCATCTCTCACAAACTTAATATTTCTTACAATATTTACACAGAAATATAGATTACAAGAACAAAATCATCATAAAAAACTCAATATTTAAGTAAGTGCAAAGAAAACTTATGTCCAAGAATGAAGTACCTGGGCATTGAAAAGGTTTTACCTCAAAATGTAGTTATTAAAAATACAAAGTAACTGAACAAAAATGGTATTTCACTTAGTATCAAGAGAAATTTGAGTAGGTAAAAGTAATGAAGAGGGGAGAAGGGACCCAGTGATCTTGAAAGCCCTGAAATATATATGCAGTTAAATCTCATCTTACCTTGAGCTTGTGATGAGGGTCGGCCCCATGAACTAAGAGCAATTCCACCACAGGAACGTGACCACCAGCACAGGCTAAGGAGAGTGGCGTGTGGTCGTTATTGGTAGTGGTTTTGTTCACATCCCCGCCCTTCACAATGAGGAACTGTACCGTGCACAGGTGGCCCGCCCGACAAGCCTTCATAAGAGGTGTGCGGCCGCCTTCACTCTCATGCTCCTGAAATTAATAAACACAAAACATAATCAAAAACCCATTCATCTATTACACTTTATAGATGCCACAATAAGAAGTCATCCACATACATCCTCCAACACGGAAATAATTATGAAACTGAAGTATATACTGTACATTAGTTTTGGGCAACAGACATCTCTCTACGATACCACTGGGTTAATTGCATAGCTACACACACATTTACTTATATTTTATCCATATTTTAAATTCATATCTGGAAATGAAACTCACTACACTAGGATACATGGGCAGAACCCATTTCCTTATCTTCTACAATGTGGGTCAGTGAGATGTGTGGTGTAGATAAACCTGTAATTTCTCATTAACAAGGCAGCAACACAACTTACCAGGTTAGCTCCAGCTTGCAGCAAAAGGTCAGCTACATCAGTATGTCCATTCTCACAAGCATAAGTGAGGGCTGTGTCCCCTGTTGATGTCTGGGCATTGACGTTAGCACTGGCATCAATAAGGTACCTGGAAATAGTTTGAATCATTATGTAACAGCTTAGAGAAGGCTTGAGAAGATAAAACACAAGACCCAGAGCTACATTTTGTAACCTGTGGACTGCCTCCGAGTATTAGCTTGTGTCACCAATTTCGGTTTGTTAAGTCACCAACTGACTACTATTAAAATTTGCCCTCCACTGCTAGTATCTAAATATTTAATGAATAAATACCATCTTTCATACATCACTAGCACACACAATAATTCTCGTCCTTGAAAAGTTGACTTGGTTCCAAATATATTTAAATTTTGTTGCTACTGACCATACAATTTTTTTTTTCAATATTGAGCCCTGAAGATAAGATACAAACAGCAGAGGTACACCATCACGTGATCCAACAAAGAGAAGAACTTACTCGACCAGGTCTCTGTGACCCTCCTGAGCCGCCTCCATGAGTGGTGTTGAAGCCCCAAGCTCCAGGTCGGCACCGGCCTTGATGAGGAGGTCAGCAACATCTCGAAAGCCTCCGCAACATGCCAGAGTCAAAGCGGTCTCTTGGGTCTCTTCCGTCTGTGCATTGATGTCTGCACCTGAGATGGTAACGAGTCGTCAAATTACTTAGTCCGTTTACACTGCCTTTCTCATTAATTTCTCACCTTAATAGTGTAAACTTTTCAAGGTGGCCAAAATCAAGAGGAACATAGGTCCAGCAACGTAAGTTGAGGAAGAGCACAAGATATACACCAAAAAGAGACACCAGAATTTAACCAGTGATAGATCATGGGTACGAGGAGCAACAAACACAGCATATGACTTACCATGAGCCAACAGCAGTGTGACCATCTCTTCATGCCCTTCCCTGGCAGCCTCCATCAGAGGGGTGTATCCCTCATCATTAACCTCTTCGATGTTCGCTCCTCGCTCTAGGAGCAGGAGTGCAAGGTCAGTGTGGCCACCACAAGCAGCCAGGGTCAGGGGTGATTCGAAGCTGTCAGCAGGCATGTTCACCTAAAACAACACAAGAACATAGTCACCTTTATCTCCACCAATAGACATAACAATGATTACTTTAATATTCTACACAGCAAAAGGTATTTTGTCAATATCAAATTAAATTATATACCAACTTCAACAATGAGAACAGACACCATTTTGAGCTATGCTCCAAAAATTATGTTCTTACAGATCCAATTTCAATATCCCTTAACTATGATATAGGGTGTAGGGAAATACTAATAAAAAAAACTAAGTATAAAATTTTCACATACATTGTTAAAATGACATCTTTGACAGACTTTCATTTCCAAACGTATAAATTAAACTTTCTTACCTGGGCACCTGAGTCAAGCAGAAGGCGTGCCACCTCTACATGTCCGTCCATGCTGGCTTCCATAAGGGCTGTGTGCATCTCATCGGTTTTATGCTCTTGGTCAGCTCCTGCATCCAGCAAGAACTTGACCATCTCTAGGTGTCCCTTATAACATGCTAAAGTCAATGCAGACTCCTTAAACTCATTGCTATGGGTGTTGATTCCTGCACCTTTATCCAATAGTATCTGAAATAAACATTAAGTATTTTAATAATAGTCATTTGCAATATAAGTTAACTTTCACCATCAACCAGTTCCACCAGAGAGATGTATCTCAAGAAACCCGAGACACGAAGTAAGTTTAAGGTGACGGGTTGGAAGGTCCCACTGGCCCTAGGATTAACCTTAGCACTGAGACTGAGGCCCAATCTTACCATGTTCATACTTATGGATATCAAATGTTAATGGATGTGATAGGTTAGGTTAGCCTGGGGACTATTAGTGCTGGGGCCTATCTGTTGTACCACCTGGGTTCCTACCCAAGACTAGGCAGGTTTGGTAGGGTGGTAATGACTATGGTGTGCAATAACATTACCAATCCTTAAGTAAAGTTCCAAGACTACATTGACCCTTCCTAACGAGGTGATGCTAGGAGACTACGCTAACCCTTCTTGACAAGTGATTGGTATCCTAGAATAAAACCGGTGAAACATGGCACACAAGATTTAGTTTCAGCAACACCCTGTTATCATTGATGTACCCACCCACTTGAGTTAACTTGCCGTCATTCTTCCCAAAGTAAAGGCTACAGAAAGAAACTCCATCCCAACACGTACCTTGGCAACTTCCACATGGCCAGCAGATGCAGCTTCCATCAAGGGGGTATGACCATTCTCATTGTGGTCTTCTACGTTTGCACCGTGATGCAGCAAGACCTACACGAAGGAAATTATCATTGTAAATACAGTATATACTGCATACAAAAATGTCAGAACTGTGTATAATTTTACACTCTTATTAAATGTACATGTCTGTCCCATTCACAGTCATCAAACAAATCAGCATCCCAAGCTTTCTCTCTCCTCAGTCTCATTCTAAGCTCTTGTAATTCCAGCATAATATGAGATCTGTCAACCTCTTCTGCCAGACTACCAATCAGCCACAATGACATGACTTGAGCCTGCCTCACCCCAACCTCTTCTCCCATCCCTCATAAGACTCATTCCTCCACTTGACCAAACTAAAAGATCTTCCCTTACTTTATGAGCCTTTTATACACTGCAGGACCATTTACATTTTATTACCAACTTTCAATCCAATCTCTTCTGACACACACACACACACACAGGCTCTTACCTTCACTACATCAGTATGACCACCAGCACAGGCATACATAAGAGGTGTGTTGCCTGAGGAGGACTGGGCGTTTACATCAGCGTTGTGGGCGATCAGGAGCTTAACAATCTCAACATGACCAGCAGAAGCTCCCTCCATCAAAGGGGTACAGTCCCCCTTGATGCCCCGGTCTTCCACATTGGCACGCATGGCAAGGAGAACCTGTAAGACAATAAACCAATAAATACAAGGAATAATAAATACTTCAGCAAATTGGGAGAGTGAGCGGAGGAAAAAAGGAAAAAATCACACCATAACCTAAGCTGACCCAAACTAAATCCAGAATAATACAACCAAAGACTGCAATACAAGACCTAAATACAGTACTACTTAACATAACCCCAGAACTACACAATAACCCCAATGACTACAGAACTTTAAGTCTATAACACAACTAGTCACAACAAACATCTGTAATATCGAGTTACTTATGGAAATCTCATCTTTCTTTCTCACCCCCAGTGTTGATATACCCGTACAGTACAGTAAATTGTTTAAAAAAAAAAATTTCTCATGAAATATACAAACTAAAATGGGTGACTGGCCCCAGAGAACCCAACAACCAGCTTGTGTTATAGTAGGAGGCAATGGTACTACACTATTAATAACCCAAGGACCCCCCTCCCTCAACAGGACATTTCCCAACAGCACAAGGAAGGGTCAGGTACCGAGACTCCCCCAACTCTATTGTTCAATTCTTTGGTGTTATCCCGGAACCTCAAGGGAAAACATAACCTCTTGGCAATGAGTGATTTCATGCATCTTTACGAATTTGTTTGAGACGATAGATTTTGATAACGCTACCGAGATAACAGACGTCACGGTGTTCATTTCAAAATTCAAAAGACCCCTCCATAATGATACCATTTGAAGCGAGTGTACAGTATACATAAAATGAACATTCTACCCTCTAATGAAACACCTGGAACAAGAGATAAACATGAATCTATATTTAGTATCAGTCATACTCACGTCCCTGTTGGAGAAAATAACTACACAAACTTTAAACTGTTATAGGGAGATGTGGCTGACAAATTATCAAAATGCTATACTGTACACTGCTCATAAAGTGACCAGAGCTAAAAGCAAACACAACACACTCTTATTTAGCTGTAATCCATTTAATCTTGCTGCTGTAACATTCCCCATAAACCACTTACCATTTTTTTTTTATCCAGCCTTGAAACCCTTTACTATGATGCAGGGTGGCTGGACAGATGCCAAGCTCCTCCTACTTTGCCTTAGCAGGATGGTACTGCACTAAAATGTTATTCCCCAACAGTGTACTTGGTTATTGTCAAGTGCTGACTGACATATATGATAGGATGAGGACAACATTTTCACCCTGTCTTAATTATTAGTTTTCCAAATTGTGTCCTCCACAACCTTGATATGATGCCGAGTATACTGGACAGGTACTTGTATTAATTTTATTCCAATGTTTTATTGCTTTCATGACAGAGGAATTGTAACTTTTATGATAAGCAGATATTATAGAATGGTTGAAGGCAGTTATGTGGTAACTAACATCAATAATAATCGATGATCTTACAAAACTTCCACAGAGGTTTACTTTCAGTGAACAGTTTTCTGAATACTGTACATGTACTGCAGTTAACACCTCTGACCTTCCTTCCAACATGAGGCACACAAGGCAGTGACTCACTTGGGCTAATTCGTAGTATCCAGCAGAGCAGGCAAGAGACAGTAAGCTCTCTCCCTCTTCGGTGGTCTCGTGAACAGACCTCCCTTCGTCTAGTAGCCTGCGCACCGTAGGTACGTCCCCGTCCGTGCAAGCCTCCACCAAGGTGCGTTGCCCGTCCCCAGGTGTGCTACTACTGCTACTGCTGCTGCTACTGCTGCTGCTACTACTACTGCTACTTCCTCCCACTGTGGCTGCTGCTGCTGCCGCCGCTGCTGCCGCCGCCGCCGCCGCTGCTGCTCCGCCTACCGTCTCTGAGCGCATACGCGTCAAGGCAGCTGCAGCTTCGTCCAGTGCACAAGACACACTGGAAGTCAGTCGACGAAGCACTTCCGGGTCTGAGGACGAGGAAACTACATACAGTGTTTAGCATTAGTAACTCAAACTCGCAACTTATCTCTTAGCTTAGTAACCCCTCTCTCTCTCATGTCCGCTTTGTTCTGTAAAACATATAATCTGTGTTTAATTATTCTTTTACTATAGAAAAGCTGCTGCTGTGTGCATTACAACCTCAAATGACAGCCTTCTGTAACACATGACAACTTCATTTTATAAGTATTGTATGCGTCAGACTACGAACACGTAAGAAAGTTATGTCTAATCATATGTCCACTTGTTTAATAATTATAATAATGAAGAAACAGACACAAGAATACCGTAGAAAGCTTGATTAAACTGACCGTAAACTCACAAGACACGGCCGTCTACTTCAGGTTAAGAAAGGCACGATTAAATAGCCCTTGACCTAACCTATCCTAACCTTCATGACTCGTCTCCATTTCTAATGAGAGTCCTAATGGATACAAGTCCTAATGGTCAAGTTAGGTTATGCTTGGATCTGATAGAACTGAAGCCCACTTGACTTTAAACCAAATTATGATACTGTACTCCCTTAACATGGAAAATTGATGGTTTGGGAGATTATACCACAATACTGTGTTCTACAGGAAGTCTTCCAATCACAATGTGATGCCAAAACCAGTACAGATATTTATAAGTATTGGTCTACCCCCCCCAAAAAATAATAATAGATAAAAATTATATATACATATGCAATATTATTTTCTTTGCAATCATGATAAGTGTACAGTGCAGTTGACTGATCAAGGCCCCACCAATGGTGAATGAAAGGATAATAGATGGAAAGGTAAAGTACAATATATTTTTTTGTGTGTTTTGACAACTACAGAGGAAAATTTTGAGAAGTCAATATCTGTTACATTTATTAACTTTCAGAAGCACTGGATAAAGTATGCAAGAATTTTCACGAGTGAATCACCATCATGTTTTGACTAGTTTATCAACTTGTCATCTAGGAAACTGAAGCCTCAAACTGAGCTCCTGTACAGTATATACAGTGCTGGGGTAGAGCGAGTCCCGAGGTGACCTTGGGTTTGTTGCATCTGACTCACAAGAACCTACAGTGTACTGTTATGTATTTATCTTTACTCTTGGCTGTATTAAGGGTTACAGAAACCTCAAAGGAAGTGAAGGAACAGGATGCAAAAGTCCCTATACAGCTTGTGGTCACCTTCCCAACTGTACAGTACAGTATGTGTACCCAATACTGATAACAAAAGCCAACACGAGGCAACTTATAAGATAATCAGTTACATATAGCAAGCTGATCACAGTGCAGTACAAAGCTGTACACAAGCTTGATACAGCTTCGGAAAATTCTCAACACAGCAGGAAATGAGTGATCAAACTTTGACTACAAGGCTTTTATTTACTTATTCCTATCAGTTTTAACACCACATTTTTAAACAAAATAATGCATGTGCTATGATATAAAAGTAAAGACAAGATTTCAGTTATTCTTCTGTACTACACCACCTATGATCTGGCTACTGGGGAGAAATAATGAAGTGGCACCTACACACACACATACCAGTATTGTACAAATTTTCTTATCAAACTTCACAGGAACTGAGATATAAATTTCTTTTGTACTAAGTCACAATATACTGGTGTTTGGGAGGTGCAGTTAGCTATTAGAGCTGCTCCCCTTACACCATATAATCAATAATTTGGCCACAGGACCTTGACAAGTCAGTCAAGGACACTTATCGTCAATGTCATCCAAACCTTTCATACCTTGTTCACGGGCATACACAGAACGATGAACAGACAGCATACGTGATGGAGTGGATATGACGGCGTTTGAACAAGAGCATTCCTATTTAAACCTCAAACAGGAATATACTGCATATATTCAGTACACAAGCAAACACCACCGAACTGAACTATTAATCTCGGAACATCCCCTAGAATCCTCAATACTTTTTATTCTTTTCCTTGAATGTCTTTTTGTAACTTGCAAGCCATTTCTCACTAACACAGGATGGGACAGACTGACAGACATGGAGTGGACAAATAATCTATGCCCCCATGTCTATGTTGAGGGCTTAATAATCTTGGAAGGTCAAGCGTGTGGGTGTGTGTGTGGGGGGGAGGGGTGTTTCAAAGACAAGTGGGTGATTATCAATGTGTGACAAATGGGCAGTAAGTTTACCGGATCATGAGGGTTGGAGACCAGTCCTAATGGTTAGGATAGGGCTTAGCCATTAGGACTGATAAGTTAGCCTGGGGCCCTAGTTGACCTGTAACCTTTTACAAACAGCCCAATAAATGATAACTTTTATATTATCATACTGACATACATCAGGCATTCTGCATAACAATAAGCATTACTTTTTACTTATCTTGAAGGACAAAACAACCAAGTCAAATTATTCATCACAAAGTAATACTCTAGCTAAGAGACCCAATCAGCAAGCTTCACACAGTAAGTAACATATATACCTGTATACTGTACCAACTTCAGGAAAAAAATCATTATGTAAACAAGAGCTTTTTCCATTTTGCAGCCTTTGATTATTACCTGCAGTCTTTCACATGGAGGACGAGTGGGGTTTTCTTTCATGTAGTTATAAATACATTCACAGTAGCTACATGTACAGTACTGAACCATCATGTCTTCTAAAAAAAGCAGAAAATCAGACTAAGTTAACTAATTGCAGCACCTAAGGTTCATCAGCTAAAGTAAGTCATATGAGAAATAGACCTTGTGTTCAAAGTTGTCAGCTGTCACGTGTATATAATTTTCTTCCGTCAAATTGTTACCGAGGGACCTTGTCGAAATTAAGGGTCATTAATATAGGTTTCAAAATACACAAATAATTCCTGTAGGTGTTAGTTACAGTAATTGTTTTTCACATTCTGCTATTTTAACTATAGTGCTGCATTTCTTCTGGACATAAGTTTAAATAAGTTCAAGAAATTTTTAGAAAGAAATACACTTCTATCTGATATCTATGGTGACTGACCTGCAGCTTCTAAAAGTGCCACTAGCCGTGAATGAGTATCGGGATCAAAATGTGGTTGAGTATGGTGTGGCGAGGCAGTACTAAGGTCCGGTGTGGTGGCAGTGGCATGGGCTGCGGCCGACAACAGGAACTTGTTGCGTACGCTCCCTGCGGCTCCACCCACCTCCTCCTCCTCCCCCTCACCCAAGGCGAACGGCTCCACCTGAGAAGAGAGGATACAGTTTAATCCACACCATTCATATAGGACTATAAATCTTTCTACAATATCTACAAAATCTATCCTTTTTTTTTACCTAAAACTATTTATCTTAAATATGCAACACACACGTCTTGCACTGACAAACTCAACCACTGCAATAACCATTATAATATTTAATTTTCTTCAATCTAAAAACTATTGATATTTCTAAAAATAAACTCACCCTTATAAAAATAATCTACTGGCACATCTGTTATTTGTGTAAGAAAACTGATCCAACTCATGGTAAGCTACAATAAGACAAGCTGCTAAACTACTGTACTACTAGTTATCTATAGTTCAGGGTTCTATCTAGTTACCAGGTACGGTAAGATACAGTAACATAAATCCAACAGTGAAATAATTGCACCACTGCCTCACATTTACCATTTAATGGTGGCTGTAAGAGAGAGCTACGATACAGCCTCTCCTCCTGAACCATGAACTCCAGATTCAGACTCGTGAACCCGAAGCAGCAGACTGATGCATTATTCTGTCCATAAATGCTTCAGATTCATGAGTGTGAATCTCGGGGTTCGTGGTTCAGGAGGAGAGAAGACAGGACTTTTGTGGGGAACTGTACAATGGTATAGGAAGGGGGGATTTGGGTAGGATCCTTCACCAACAGGGGTACACGGGATCACAAAATTGACTTATTCTTTTACAAGACGGAAATAAAAAATATATGTACAGTAGTATAATTTTCACCGACACAACAAAACATAGAAAAACAGATTATTTTTTTTTTAAGTATAGTACAAGTAGAGGTCCCAGCTGCTGGAAGTGTGAGGAGGCTGACAGCACTAATGATGAGGACATAAAGTGTTTCTTTTCACTAACAGTTACAGTACTGGTAATTTTTTTTTGATGGGGGGAAGCTTATATTGGCCATATACTAAACATGTTCCAATACATTTATATTCTTTCTTCCCTTTCTTTTAAAATTCTAAACAGAGTAACTGAACGATTAAACAGCTTAATTTACTAATACTGTTATGATTTAGCAAGTGTCTGTTAATAAACTGTTGTGATTCAGCAAAAAGTCAGAAAAGGTTGGACAAGACAGTGGGATTCCCCTCAAGGAGTTCATTACCCAGGTAATGAGCCTTGCACTACAGCCCCACAGGAAAATTATGCCACTGTAGTGCTGCGAGGGTAGATAAGACCTCAGGAGTTAAGAGTGAATCACAAAGAAAACTACCAAAAATTACTCACTGGACGACCCAGTTTTGATTAACCGACTATAAAATCATCGAGAAGATTCCAATGTTCATCAATTTCACCTAAAGGAGTTCACAGTAAACCAATACAGTACAGTATGTATATGTACTGCATGATGATTTGATACCAAGGCAGAATACCCAACAAAAACATATGATGTGGAACTTTCTCGAGTTGCCACACCTAAACAAACCAGGACCACTTCTTAATAGCCTTGGGCCAGACCACCTCATCTAGAACACAATTACAAAAGATAAGCTGAACTACACACTAGATTCCCCTCATAGTTTTATCAGGACAGTGTGGTGTTGGCCCTGAAGTCAACATGCTAGCAATCTGAACACTAAACACTTACATAAGTACTATACCTATGACTCTTTGGCCATACTGCTGCCCATAAAGTCAAGCAGAATGTCTGAGCTGTACAAAGTGTGACCAGGATCTAGAGTGAGTCAGTCAGGTTTGTGAGCTGTGTAACCAATGTCAACAAATGAATGGACCGGCCGATGTCACCTTACCACGGCCAAACATTAAAATTCTCAAACTTTCTCTCTTCATAGTCTACTTTCTTATGATGTAGATATTCTGAACAACCCTAGAAGGAAGATAGAGTACTGTATAATTCAAATGCATTATCAAGTCCATTCAGTTTTTCGATCTCATTCACAAGCTGGGGTTATGACTTAAGACTTGTTGAAAATACACAGGTTGTATAAAAAAAAGAATTCAATGTTACCATAACCATTTTTTAACAAACATCATAGACAACTTCAACTCCCTATCTAGATTTCCACATAGTTACCCATGATTACTGTATAAGAATTAACAAGAGCCCTGAGACTGTTTTTCTGGTCTGTGTCGAGTAAATAAAAAAAAGTCTACCAACTTGCCATGCATAACAATAAGAAGCATCGTGCAAAAACTGTAAATGTATTATACCTGTAGTTACCGACATCAGTATACATGAATGCATTTATAGTATGCTTGTGTTGGGAGATGCAAATTCAAGCATAGAATTTAAACCACACCAATCATTGTTAATGTGGTTTATGTTTGCCATTAATAAGTAGCTACACCTGGTTATTTTACACCTATAATATACATAGCCACCTCAGCACTCTAGCAAAATTAAAGAGAGCACCAGACCAGGGTTGATATTAACATCCAGTTAGTAATTTTACAAACAAATACAACAGCCCCCAAACATGCATGACCTTCACACCACCCCTATCCTAATGACCATAACTACATGGCTACCAGGGTCATCTGAGTTGATACTACGGGCATACAGCATTTTGGTGAAGTACCGTAAACAAGAACTAAAATAATACAATAATAATAATTATAATAATAATTAGCTTCCTTTGTTCTCTGGCAAAGTGAGTTCTTATTAAACAGATAAAAAAAATGGGCAAAGGTAATAAAATCTAAACTGTCTCCAGATATTGGCTAAAAAATTAAGTTCAACTGTTCAAGATCAAGTGACAATTCGCCACTTCAGCTTATTTCACCAAAAGATTAAACCACTCGAAAGCTATCCTAACACCCTCCCCTCCCCCCAGGTAACTTTAAGGTGTTTAATCATCAGGTGAAATAAGCTAGGGTGTCTAATCTTGATGTGCACCTTTTAAAAGTGCCACTACAGTATTAACCCCGTACTAAAATAATGCCAGTTAGTAGTATGTTATCTGATGATGAGAATTTACAATACATACTGACTTTGTTTTTTGTTTCCTTACTGTACCGGTATCTATTTTTGTGAGTAACAGTAAAAGTCAATGCAGGACACAGCCAAGATAAATATGTGGTGCAGCTGAGATTATGATACGTTTTACACCACACTTAAGAGGAGTGTCCCTAACACATCACCAGTCATTTCTGGAGGTGACTACAGTAGCTAGCTATACACATAAACTGGAAAATTATAAAAACTGCAAAGAAGCATAGCCTATAGCAGAAGACAACAGGGAAGAGGCTATCTATACATACACTATAATATGGTGTTTATGCTCTTAAGTTACCAAAACAAACAAATTTTGTAAAGGACTCCTTAGAGGGTTATACACAACCTTGGTCTTTGACCCAGTATAGTACAGCAGCTCCAGAAATCAATAGAGAACTTCCTCCTCCTCCTCGGGGCAAGATGCCTAGATGCAATATCATCGATGTGAGGAACTCAAAGTTCAATTTTTTCTCTTTTGCGAGCCTCGTCATGCTACAGTACACTGCAGGGTGGACACAAGACCAAACACACACTCTTTCCTTATGGATGTATTTTTATATAACCGTATACCGTAGCTACTATGCTTTTCGCATTACCTGTAGCTATATCCAAACCCCCTAGCAAATCTTGATCAAGTACTGTACTGTATATCAGACACTTCTTCATTTCCAACTCTTCTACATCAATGATTGAAAACCAACAAGTGTTGCAACGAAATGTGAGTGATGAATACGAGTAGTTTCAGGGATTACCCATTTGTCCACAACTGTAGAAGGGCAAGATGCTGGACTGTGATTCACTACAACAGTAATCATAGTCAAAACAATGGTACATACACACCAGCAATTCAACCAATGTGCAGTACAGTAATTCCACCCAATCCAGCCATCCCCAATGATTTAAATCCAAGAGAAAAGAATAACGTAATAATGTAAATCCTAACTTAACCATTGGGATATCAGCCCAACACACACAATGACAATAGGAAAACTATTAATCTGACCTTATCTCCAAGTACAAGATGGTACATTCTTTCAATCACTCCCATATTGCATTTAATACATTTATTTTATCATACTCAAATATTTTTTTTAAGCGCGAGTCAAATGGGCCCCAGTTCCAATAGACCCCAGCCTAACCTAACCATTAAATACTAGGGGGCCTGATCTTAATGACCGGGTATGATAGAACCTCTTATACTCTGTACCTGGGACACACACATTCATAGGTTGACTTAAGACTGTAGGCCTAACTGATAAGTTTGGCTTGATATATTAACTAACAGGAAAGCTGTCACGACTTATCACTCCATAACAAAGAGGAAAACACGAAACTCTTGCCAACTGTGCAGAATTCCAACAATTTAATCAGTAAAACAAAAAAGTCAAATTTTCAGATAAACCACAGAAAAACCTCTATACAGTATTATAAAAAATAAATAAATATAAAGTACAATGAAATCCAACCAGTTCAAATTTCAGATAAGTTGAAAATGTTTATCATGTTCAGAATTCTAAACATACTCCCCTAAGCTGGAAGGTTTGAAGTTCTCACGTGGCATGACTCATATCTACATGTACAGTAGCCACTTCCACCCTTTGTGAGCTACTGAGCATATTTTAGGTGCCCAAACCCCTGTGTGTGTGTGTGTGTGTGTGTGTGTGTGTTAAAATCTTTGACTTGCTTTGAGTCCATTCCACAACTTTTTGCTGTAATACCATACATTCACAACACCTGACTAGAGGTATTAACAACAAATTACATGGAGCTGGGAGACTGAAGGCCAAGCAATATTCCCACTTTGTCAAATAAATGTTCAGCTAATTCACCCACCCCTCCCCCGCCCATCAGGAACAACACACAGAACTCATGAAACACCACCACAACAAATAATGAAACTAAATGAAAACGTCAGAATAAAAACTCAACAAAAAATGAAAGGAAGAGATGGGGAGCAACAAGTCTAAAATCAATAGGCCTACACAGTCACTAGGTCAGGTAGGGCCAGGGATCAATAAAT